CAATTAAAAAAAAATAAACTGCTGGTTTTGGAGGCCCATGTACTAAATTGAAACAAAACAGAGATCAGCATGATCACTGTGCAAGGACTACATGCAAATTCGTGAATGTTTCATATTTTAATAATACTGATGATGAAATAAAATGTCTAGTCCCAGTATGATAATAGATAAAGATGGCTAGCTGCCTGTAGAGGATGTTTTTTGTTTAATTATAAGCTAATTGTCCCTAGAAATTTGCATTCCAATTAGGGCAGATGACGCCCAAGTTTGAGTAGAATCCAAGCTTATATGGTATTTCTAAGAGGAATCCGTGTGGTAGATGCTGTTTGCTGTTCAGATTCTCCTTTTTGAGGTCTTATTGTCCAGCCTCTGCAGTGATGTTAGCACAGCTTTCAGCTGTTAGCCCCTCAAGGATGGTCTGGTCTGTGGTGTGCCCTTTTCCAGGCAGTGCCTAGTCCCTGACTGTTCATTGCAGGGGTATAAAGAACAGCATATTGTTCCCACTTGGGGCAATTCTGAAGGGCCATTCCCCTCCAGAACTGTCCATGGAGTTGGTTGAGGCTGTTGTTGGGTGTGTGTCTCAGTTCTGCTTCTTCCTCTGCCCTGCCTTTTTCTGTCTCCACCTTTTCCCAGGGGTTTTTCCCAAGGGCACACTCTAATGAATATTTTGCATGCCAGACTTCCTCAGATTGAGGCTTTTCTTCAGATCCCAACATATAACTGGTACCAGTTGGCTCTTTGCCTAATCTTTTAGGTTTATGACACCTTCCCCAGGCCTGGTAAGGTGATAAAAGTCTCACCTTATTAGCTCCCTTCTGCTGTGGCAGGGGTCAGCTGAGGATTTCATTTAGCAGGCCATTCATAGTGTCTGTGAGCTATGGCAGCACTGTTGGCCTGGACTCTTCCATGGTGACAGCCCATAGGCAATGGAGTGGAGGCAGTTCCAACTTCTTACCAGCTGCCACCCAAGGTTGGTATTAGGATGTCAGTTCTGGTGCTCCTGACCTAACTGACCATGGTGTGGTGTGGTGAGGCCTGTTCTGAGAAACTGAAATGAAGTCAGGGTGATTGCCTGAAAAACCCGCTCCAGGATTTATTTTTTCAGTATACTTTCCCCTGGGTTTTTCTCAGAAGTTAAGCTGAAGGCTTTTATGATTTCATGGAGAGCACCTAAGAGTAGTCAACGGTCCCTGGTTGTGTACTAACTTCTCTTGATAATCTTGTTTCAAGTGCTGAGGATCAGCCAGAAAGGACAAGGTGTAGCATTAGGAAGAAAGGGCTTCAGGGAATATAGTGATTCTCCCTGAGTTTGATGCCAGACTTTGAGATAAAGGTGACATATGTTTCTGAAACCTCCACTACTACATGGTATTGAAGTGTCACTCACATGCAGTTTGGGCTTGGGTAGGAGGTGAATATATGTACATCTAACTTCGAAGGTCCTGATGAGTGCACAGGCTTTGAGAGGTGGTGATGATGTCTGAGTTAGTAGGCAAAAATGAAGTGTGAGTATGTAATATGCAATATTTAGGACAGACTTATACAAAGAAATTGTTTGGTGATTATTTGAAATTCAGTTTAATTGGGCATTCTGTGTTTCATCTGTAACTCTTAAAAAAATAAAAAGAAGTGTCATAGAGTAGAGCTGAGAAACTGAGTCATTTTTTGAGCCTAAGGGATCAGAAGTGTTCTCTGAGAAAGGAGCTTGGGGGTGGTTTTGAATCTTGGGCATCATTTTGCCTGGTGGGAATGTAGAGTGGTAGAGAAGGGCAGGGGCAAAACTAGGCAATGCCAGAGAATGACCAAGGGCCTGGGGGTGGGGGAGGGTGGAAGTGCAAGGCCAGAGGGGCCTTGTCCTCTGTAGGGCTCTGGGTGGGCTGTCAGGTGAGGAGTGTCCCATGGACTTGTCCTAGAGCTTGAGGAACTGCTGGTGTTTTATTGTTACATGACTCATTTTAATTATAAAAGCACTATCAAATTATGCTAAAGTATTTCTAACACTGAAATGTTTATTTTCTTATCCCCCAGGTCCTGCTTTCTCTCTCTCTCCAGAGGTTACAACTGCAAATGACTTTCCATTTATCTTTTCAGAAATGTTCAGAGGCATAGATGTGTATATTCTTTTGGCTTTGTTTATACTTTTATTGAGCTGCAAACTTGATCACCATTGACATGCTGTTTTACCACTTCATCTTTCTCCCACTTATAGTATTGCTTGGGTTGCTTTCCATATTGTTACCAGTGGAGCTCTTGATTTGAAAATATAGTTTTTTATTTTATTATTGCTATTGAGTGTCTTGCCACCAAACTGGAGGCAGTTAAATATTGGTTCATAGTATGTTAACTTTTAGGTGAATAGAAGAATGCTGGTTTGTTTCAGGACTTGGGGGAAATAAACTAATGGCTCACTTTGGAGAGCCCAGCATTGCCAGTTTAGCTGTGCATCATGGAGTGACCAAAAACCATTAGCTGAATGGGTGGAATCAATTTGAATTGCTGAATAATTCAAAAACATTTTTGAAATATTTAGATTAACATAGTATTTTTTTTCCTAATAAACATTTCCCTACTCACATATCTGAGAGCTGACATAATTTATCTCTTTTCCTGATTGGATATTTTAAATCTTTTCCTTTCCTCCCTGAAACCCTCCAATATTGATCTATAACTCAGTATCCTTACTCCAGCAGGCTCATTTGTAACATCTTATGATCTAGTTTCCAGGCCTTTCAAATAAATTACTTATTTATATGAAGGGACCATAATTGACTTTTCGGTTGAGAAACCCAATTCACCAAAGTGGCCAAGGAGAGACATAGTTCATTTTGCTCTATTATTAAGTCAATGTTCAAATAATATTTTAGGATTATTTATTTTCCTCAATATAAGAAAAATGTCAAGATTTATTTGCCATGTTTCTTAAATGTCAGAGGAAATTGACCTGAGGCCATGGAACTCTCAGAGCCTGGTATTCTACAGTTCTCTGCTGAAGGATTAAAAGTCATTGCTCTCAGGACTGGTTGTGAGCATTGTCCTTGTGCTTGGCGGAATCAGGTGTGGATGTGAAGGAAGCTGGGTTCTTGTTTCTCTGGATGAATTGGAGACATGATATCATTAAAGATGAAACCCTCATAAGTGGGATGAGCTAGGTAGGTAGGGGTAGGAGGGATATTTCTGAAGGTTTATTAGGAGGAGACGAGCCACGTTGAGCCTGAGGCAAGCCTTGCTTGAGGATGTGGATAGGAAGATATCGTAGTGTGTGGAAAGGCAAGAACCAAGAATGGGAGGGAGCCAGTAGGGAGATCCCTGTAGTAGAGGATGAGCATTGCTGAGTAGGCTGGGGTAAGAGCCATTCATTTAATAATTCAGTCAATCCAGCACAAGCAGAAATCAATTTATGACCATGTCAGAGTTGCAGGCACTGTGCCAAAGGGTGTAGGATGTGAACTCAACAGGCTGAGAGTCCTCGCTTTTAAGTTCACAGTCCAGGGGTGAGATGAGCAGAAGGGCCATCTAACTAAGGATAAAGCAGAGTGCTTGGTGAAGGCTCTTCAGAGTATGTGAAGTCTGAACCCAGCCCAGAGGAATGGCTGGGAGTTGGCCAGAGAAAGGGGGTGAGGCAGAATATAGTGTTAAAATGACAATTTGAGTTAGGGTATGATCATAAGAGTTGGTCTTATCCTGTAGTTTCTGAGAAGTCCTTGATGGGTTTTAAAGCAGATGCTTCATGGTGAGATGTGTATTTTGGAAGGCTCCCTCTGGCAGCAGAGAATAGAGTGTAGGTGGGAGGGGACAAGACTAGAAAGTGGTGGTGGTGACTTGACTGGGACAGTGGCTGCAGAAGGGGGAGATGTGTTCAAGGTCAGTAGGTGTTAGTTTGGACAAGACTAGGTACCTGAATGTTGAGTAGGGCAGGAAGGGTAAGGCTGTTTGATGGAGTGTCACATGAACCTGGAAGTCACCCTGATACTTAGGGGCCTTGGGGGACAAGAGAAGACCACAAAAAGAAGACCATGTGTGTTCTCATCCTTATACTCCAGTTTATTCTTTCTCCATAGATAGCCTTTTGAAAAATACTTAGGTCATCCTTTTTATTTTTATGTGGTTTTCACTCTCATAATGATTGAGTGGCTGCCTGGGAGCTGCAGCTTGCTGCTGCTACTCAGCATTGCCAGAGGTTTGGGCCACATATTGCTTGCCCAGGAAAGGGCCACAATTAAAAATGCAAATTATGGTTTCTATTGAAAGTATATTGCTTTCATACTGTTGTATGGTCCAACAATGGGAAGTAAAGCCATCGTAAACCAAGGACCATCTGTGTGCTTTTCTCCACCTTACGTTCTCCTCATAACCTGTGTATCCTGGCCACTGCACCATATCAGCATGTTGACATCTTCCTCATTCCTTTTGAGTGGCATAATACTCCACTGTATAGATGTATGGTCATTGATTCTGGAGAATTGTAATTGTAGCAATTACTTTACTTCTTGTTCTGCTGTTTTCTAGGAAATGAAATTTTAAAGAATGTGAAAAGGTGGTGAGAGGAGGGGGCTGTACCCAGTACCTGGTTGTGACTGCTGTAGTTTTTATCTTAGTTTTCATCCTGGGCGGAGGGATAAAGTATCTTTTTCTTTGTACCTGGGTTGGTAGGGCTGTTTTTTTTTTTTTTTTTGTTGTTGTTTGTTTTTCATGAGGCTTGGTGCTTCATGGTTTTTGTCATTTCATATTCTCTCTCTCTCTCTCTCTTTCTCTCTGTCATTAAAATCTTCACAGAAGTTCTTATAGATTTTGATAACACATTGTTAGACGTAGTTCTTAACCGTAGCACTCTTGTGTGTGTCTTCATGTCTTATAGTATTAATAAGGATTTGATAGTAATGCTATGAGGGATTGCTTTTCAGATGCTGTTTAAAAACAAATCCCTGTCTGTACAAAGTTAATGAAACAATTTTTAAAAATGAACTTTTCTTTTCTTGACCAATATTGTTATTGTGTTGCAGGGAAAAGGACTTGGAGGCCAAGTTCATTATTCAAATGGAGAAAAGCAAAACAACAATCACAAACTTGAAGGCAAGTAGTGACTTTGCCCTGCTCCAGTTCTAGAAGGCTTATGTTTACACTGCAGTGGGGCTCGCTTGTGGGTCAATACAACACGCCTGTCATTTCTGCACTCTCCTTTCTCAGGTCAGGTGGCCACGTCAGCATGCTGTAGGGTAGGGCCTGGCCCTGAAGCAGAAAAGTGGATGGCCGTTTCCTCCCCCATGCCCTGTTTCATTTGATCTGGAAGAGATCAAATGCTCTGATCCTCGAGCTCCCGGGTATGGAGCAAGGCCAGGTCTTTTCATCCTGAGAACTTGTAGTAGAGCTGTAGACTGTGCAGTACTGAGGAAGTTTAACCCTTAGATTTGTTAACATTCTTAATGAAGATTATCATGTTTTGTAATCCTTGAAGAAGAACTGATGCTATTATTCAAAACTTGGGAGATGAAAGATTAAAAAACAATACTTGCATTACTTTCTAGAAGAAAACATACAGGAAAAAAAAGCAAGTTTCCCCAATGATGAATTCTTTCTTTTGTCCTTAAAATATACTGTTTGTTTCTTTGACCATTTGTTGAGGACCCAGAGGGCCCTTTACTCAGGGTGAAAGCAAGGGTGTGGACTTAATAATAAGGAAATAATGTGCTTTATGGGTTTCACGTTTGATATTTTCATTAACAGACAGGTTTGGGTTTCTGAGTTCTGCTGCTCTGTGGCCAAGTACAGATCAGTCTCCAGGCCATGTCTGAGGAATGCATTTCTATTAATTTGTGGTCCAAGGAATTGAAGACTATTAGATCCATATTTAGAGTCAGGCAACTTGATCTCCAGTGATGGAAGCTGGGGATGCTCCTGTCTTCAGTCAGGCAGTGCTCTGGATAACTGATAGGCTTCCTTGGGACTCTGGGTCCCTTTGCCCTAGGCATTCTCCACTGGAATGTTTTTTTTACCCCTCCACTTAGCACAGTTCTCTTGTGTCCTGGCCCTTTCTAGCCTACACTAAGCCCTCCCTGCGCCTCTCAGCTTTCTGTACCCATCATCACTCATCTACTCCCTGCTGTTAGGAACCTGGGCTTTGCTTCATGTTTGTGTTCTCAATGCTTTGGTAAAAGACCCTGGCCTCTGGTGCGCCTCCTTTCTTTATGCATCCTGTTGCTTTTTGTGTTTTACAAACATTTCTTCCTCCAATGTTTGAATAACCAGAATGGATGCCTGGATTTTTAATGTTTTATTACTTTAATTGTTAGTGTTTTAGCACTTGTTTCTTCGTAATATGTGAATCATGTTGAAAAGTATGGTGCTTAGTGAAGTTATTTAGAGTATGTCCAATAAAGTATGTGAGACTTTTGGGACATATGAAGATTTTTGTTATTTATTTATTTGTTTGTTTGTTTATTTTATTAGAGCTTTATGGTTATACATAGCAGTTGGGTTCATCCCGACAAACTTATTACATGCATGGAAATTGATTTCAGTTCATGATCCCCACCTCTTCCTTCCCACCCTTCTCCCTCCCCTGGAGATTTTAAAATATGACTTTTGGGTTCTGTCACCAGCTAGCTGGGCTGGCAACTAAAAATTACTCAAACACAGAAATATCTTTTGGGGGGATCAGGGATGGCTCTACGACCTCAGGTGTCAGTTCCCATGCTGGAAGCAATGGGAGCAAGGGAGGCAAGAGGCAAGAGAGAGAGCACAACCCAAACCCCTCTATTTATTTAGGAGAAAGACATTCAATAGAAAATTCCACCCAAATAATGCAAGGGATTGGGTTTTGAAGGGTGGAGTCTTGCTTGGTGATGTCTTGTGGTCAGCAGATTGACTGACATCTTGGCAAGTCACATCCATCTCAAGTGCTGTGTAGGATCACAGAAGAGTAAGAGAAAAGGCATACATGCACCACACAGCCCAAGAGGCTGTGTAACACCAGACCAGTCCCCTCATATGTTCAAATGTGCATAGCTCACGCAGCCCATGGATGGCTCACAACGGGGTTCAATTTAAGTATGTAGCATGGCAGACAAGAGATATGCATACATCTGTTTTAAACTCACAACATGATATGTCTTAGGAGATGTTTGCTTTTCAGAGGTGAGAGAAATTATTTCTGTATAGAGCACATTAAGAAAGCTTCATGGAAGGAGAGACATCTGACCTGGAGTTTTCAAGGAGCCACCAAATTGCACAACTCTAGGGGTACCAGTCCCATCATAGTTTGTATGACTAGCATTCCTTGGAGCTGTGCAAAGCCCAGCTTTGGGGTGAACTCTGGTGGAGGGAATAGTAAAAATCATTGAAGATGGAAAAACAGAGTCTGACTGGAGCAATGGGTTCATGTAGGTTAATCTTAAAAATACAAGAATAATAGCTGCGGGTATCACAGAGAACTCGGATCATGGGGTGGGGAATTGAGGGTTGTATTTAAGTTTTATTTATTCAATTTTTTTAGGGAGGTCAGAAGTAATTAAATGCTTCTTAGGGTATAAATATGAAAAGAGAGTGATCATTTTAGGAACAGATTTTTTTTTTTTTTCTTCCTAATTTGGGTCACTTGTCAAATGACAGTACTCTTTATAGTTTCATTGTTATTATTCTCTTTATTATTGTTGTTGTTTATCATTATTATTATCTTCTTTTCTAGATACCAGAAGGAGGGACTGGGGACTCAGGAAGAGAACGGATCAAGACCTTCACCTATGACTTTTCTTTTTATTCTGCTGATACAAAGAGTCCAGATTACATTTCACAAGAAATGGTATGATGTTATATTTCAAGATATTTATTTTTTAAAAAATTTTTATATAAAGAAAAACATGCCTTGTCTAAAAAAATCTTTGCTTTTTTTTTTTTAGTAAGGTTCTTAGTGATTTGCATGCACCTTAACATTTGAAAAATGTAGTTGGTTTATAGGTGATTTGTGGAGATTTGGTTTTCTGAGGCAAGGTAAGGATTGAAGTTGGAGGACTGGAATGACTGTGCGAAATCAAACATCAGGGCAAAACAGAAAGGGACAAGAGTGATGAGAATAGGAACCATTAGAAAGAGAGGAGATGCCTGCTTGAAAGAGGTTTGGGAGAGAAAAGATGAACTGATGTTGCTCTAGTTTGCATTGGTGTCAGACACTCTGGTGTTATGTGTGCTGTCTTGTTTAATCATCATTAGAATCAAATGAGATAAATTTTAACTCCATTTTTCTTTGTCTTAGAGTCTTGAGTAACTTGCTCAAGTTCATAGACTTAATTGACTTTGAATAGTAGCAGAGTTGAGAACCTGGGGCTCCTGTACAGGGTGTGGAGAAGCCACTGGAAACTCTTAGGGTATGAAAGGAATTGAATGGCATGTTCTAGAGGACAAATGGATAGGACGGTATGTTGGCCAAATAAATGAGAGTGGGTGAGTGAGAGGAGATGACCTTAGTGTCAAGGTGACTGGTTAATACCGGGTTTAGTCAGTGTTGGTAGATAGTCTGGTGAGAGATTGAATGTTATAGATATTGGAATCTAGACTTAGGCTTTATTATAGGAATGGGAATAAAGGGGCCGGTAAAAGGGAATTTGTTAATGGAAAAGCCAGTTTAGTGTGGTGATCTCTAGAATCTCTTCAAAACAGGATGAGTGAAGAACCTCAAAGGTCCTCTTTTTTAAACTTGTTTATTGTTAGCTGCTGGATTTTCCCCATTTATTCTGAATTTGAGGTTCTATGGACAGAGGGCTGTGCTGGGGGAAAGCCTGGGGATAGAAAAATAGAGCATTGTGTGACAGCAGGACCTGGCACGGTAAGTAAATATTTGGTGACCCAGTGAACTGGTTTACAGATGGTGGTTAATTTACGGAACAGATGACATTTCCTGGGCTTTATAAGAGTTAAGATTAGGGAAGCAGGTAAAAGATTAGCTCTTCTGGAGGCTAAAAATAAATGCCTGGAGTTTAAAAAGAGTTCAAGATTATGAAACTCTTTCAACAGGTAAAGATAACTTCAGTGCTTTAGGTATACGTGCAGCACGTCTTCCCAAATACTTCCAGGTGTTTAGGTGAGTAACCTGAGATTGTTCCATTCAATTACAAAACTAAGAAAGCTTTGAGGTACATTTGTTAAAACATTGTGTAGTAGAACCTCATGTCAATAAGCCGTAATAGATTCAGGAAGATATCTATCCTTTTTTTTTTTTTTTTTGGATACTAGGGATTAAATTTAGGGGGCACTTGACCACTGAGTCATATCCCCAGCCCTATTTTGTATTTTATTTAGAGACAGGGTCTCACTGAGTTGCTTAGCACTTTGCTGAGGCTGTCTTTGAATTTAGACTTAGCCTCCTGAATTACTGTAACTTTAAACCTGCCTTAGCCTCCTGAGTTACTGGGATTATGGGTGTGTGCTACCTTGCCTGGCGAGATTTATCTTTAAAATACTCTGTTAAGGGACACAGCCACATCAAAGTTTTTAGCAGCAAAATTCACAATAGCTAGACTGTGGAGCCAACCTAGATGCCCTTCAATGGATTAATGGATAAAAAAAATGTGGCATTTATACACAATGGAATATTACTCATCACTAAAAAATAACAAGATCATGGCATTTGCAGGGAAATGGATGGCATTAGAGCAGATTATGCTAAGTGAAGTTAGCCAATCCCTAAAAAACAAATGCCAAATGTCTTCTCTGATATCAGGGGGGTGACTCAAAATGAGGTAGGGAGGAAGAGCATGAGAAGAAGATTGCCTCTAGATAGGGAAGAGAGGTGGTAGGGAAAGGGAGGGAGAAGGGGAATTGCATGGAAGATGCAAGGAGACCCTCATCGTTATACAGAATACATGTATGAAGGTGTGAGGGTAAAAAAATTGTATCACATTAGATTGGGTAGAGAGAAGTGATGGGAGGGGAGGGAAAGGGGGGAAGGAAGGACAGCAGAATAAAATAGGCATTATTATTGCTGTGTGTATATATGTGACTGCATGACCAATGTGATTCTGCAACCTGTACACTCAAAAAAATGAGAAATTATATCCCATCTGATTCAAATTTATGATATGTCAAGATCATTGTACTGTCTTGTGTAACTAATTAAAACAAATAAAAAATTATAATAAAAATAAAAAAAATAAAAAAAATACTGAATCAAAAAAAGTACTCTGTTAAGGAGAATGCCCTTCATTCCTAATTTTAACACCTGTTGTTACTAAAAAGGGCTCCAGTTTTAAATATTGACTAAAGTGTTCGTGCTGACATTTTAGACTATCTAGGTGAGCTATCCCTGCTATAATCAGGGAAGGACTCAAATTAACATGATGCTTACTTGCTCTCTCTTTAATCAGTTGAATGTAAAAATGTATTGTGAAAATATATCACGCCTATTACCAGAGCTCAAATCAAGTTTCCCTTGATGTTAAATGAATGCTGGGTAAGATGACCTTTGACATTAAACAAATACCAGGTAAGATGAACATTATTTTAGAATTAGAAAAAAAGAGCAATTAAAATTTATAGTCATGTAAATAAAAAACATTAGTAAAATATTAAATAAAGTTTAATTTTCTTAATGGTTCTTCAAAACTCCAAAATGAGCCTTTGATCTCATACAACCTGTTCCTTAATTCAACCCTGGAGAAACCTGATACTTAAAAGATCTCCTGGTGGGCAGGCAGGATGGGAGAGTCTTTATTTTAGCAGCGCCCTCTTGTGGGCAATTCTCCTCCAGCAAGGCCCGGTGATGCCTTGGATTACACTGGAAATCAGCTGTGAAGTCTAGTCTGTGCTTCCATATGCAGCTAAGTGGATTTGAGGTAACCTGGGCCAGGTGAGGGACTTTGGCAGAGTTTTGTTGCCAGTGGAATGATCAGTCTATTAAAGCTGACCTCCTTTTCCCATCTGTAGCAGATTTTTAGATTAGTCTTTGGTGGGAGCCTGATCGTCTTTCCTTGTAAGACCTCTCGAGATAAAGTTAGTGCTTGCTGCTTCTCAGGTCTCAGCTGGCTGTGGGTGGGTTACCTGAAACTGAGAATGAGCCTGGCCTGATCTCTACACCTCCAGAACTGCAATTTCTAGACCCCTTTTGGTGTCATGTCCACTAGTCTCAAACTTAAGCACTCATGCACATATACCTCGAGTCTGTCAGAAAACCATTTGGGTTAGCTTTCTAATAAAAGTAATAACAAAATGGTGGGTATTAATTTTAATCCTAGGGAAGAACTTCATTGTGGTAACGTCTGGATTTGATATAAGTATGACATTGTTTTAGCCCCAGACCAAACTGTAAGAGAAGATCCATCTTCTATCCTCTGAGAACTTTTTGTAAGGTGTCCCTATCCAGTGAAATGATCTTGCCTCATTTTTCTTTTTTGTTTAGAAGGAAGAAATTGGAGAAATATTTTAGAGTTTTTACTCAAGTGTAGTGATGAAAATGAATCTCAGACTGATGGTTTGGAGCCCTTAGTCTCCCTGGGATTATGGGTCTTGCTTCTTAACAGAAGTTTGAGGAGGAGTGCTTCCAGAGGGGTTTAGGACTTCATTGTCAATTTAGAGGTTTGGGAAGAGGACATATAACCATAAAACCTTTGGAGTCTGAAAGACCTGGGTGAGGTCCCGGCTTGGCCACCCACCTGCAGGTGCTCACTTCCCTAACTCTCCCTTTCACCTTCCTCATTTGAGGTCTGGTAATGCCACTCACCCTGTAGTAATTTCATGAGGATTAATACATGAACACGTGAAATTGTATAGAAACTGCCCAGTGAGCCACTGTTATAATTGGAAATTGAGTACAGCATCAGAATTTGAGAATAAGGTCAGAAAATATCAGGTTGTAAAGCTGAAATGAGTAGAAATTAACTCAGAAGGAATGACCTTGGCCATCTGTGGAAATGACTCAATTGAAGTGGTAGTTTGTGAATCTTTCACCTCCTTGAGAACGAGGAAACAAAGTCCAAACAAGATGCTGGGAGGAAGATATCTAGAGAAAGCTGAAGTTCAGTTGGCTATATTTTCATTTTGTCCAGGGATGGCAGGTGTTATTAATAGGATTTTTAAAAATTTGGATATGAACCAGGCATGGTGGCTCAGGAGGTTAAGGCAGGAGGCTCGCAAGTGCAAAGCCAGCTTCAGTAACTTAATGAGGCCCTAAGCAACTTAGCAAGGCCCTGTCTCAAAATAAAAAAAATATAAAGGGCTGGGGATGTAGCTTAGTAGTTAAGCATCCCTGAGTTCAATTCCTGGTACTAGTACTACTATACTACTACTACTACTACTAATGTGGATTTGAGATGAAGATGGCCAGGTTTACCTGTTTTGCTTATTTTGAAATCACATGGGGAGTATTATAAGACACTGATTCCTGGGTTTACAGCCCTTAGATTGCATTTCATTAAGCTGGGTCACCAGCCTGGCCTGTGGAACTCTTTGAAGTGTCCCAGGTGATTCTCAGGTGTAGCATAGTTAGGATATATTGCTCTCAGCCCTTAGTTGGAGATGACTTTGTGGTTAATCTAATTGGGTCTCTTGTTTTTTGGCTAATGGACATCACTCACAGGCTGGTCATTTCTGCAGGAAATTAACTCAGAAAGTGGGTAAGGTTCCCACTTTGGACTGTGGAGATTCCACCTAGGAATTCTTCACCATTTTATGGTGCTGTGAAGATAACTGACATCTTTTAGTTGTCGATGTTCCTATGTTTGAAGCAGGGAAAAATTTGATGTGCCCTTAGTGTACTGGGCTTAGAAGACAGGAAGTAACACTAAATAAAGCTTTGGTTCACCCCTTCCCAGCTGGATATAACTAGAATCCTTCACTTCTTGGTTTGTCTAATTTACATTAGTTGTCTTCCTGAATTATTTGTACTTCATCTTGTTTTACTCTCCAAATTGCAATTATGTGGTGCATGGACATGGACTCAGACCATTGTAGGTATGACCCCCATCCCCACACAGGTTGTCTACCACCCTCTCCGTCCTGGGCAGATATCCAACAGGAGAAAGCATCTGGACTCTGTCATGAGGGAATCCAGCCATCCTGGCCTCATTTATACCCGTCTATCACTCAGTTTCAGGAAAACCTTCAGAGATTTATCTCTGTGAACCTGGACCCTTAAAAATGAGGACTTGGATTTAGCATGGTTCAGGCAATAATTTATTGCTACTGTGACCTTCACGTTTTGAATATTCGTTTCTAGAAGTTCTGATAGAATGAATAGCTTTATAAACATATAATTATGAATGGTAAATCATCATGCTTTTAAAATCTTTTTTGCTTCTAGACATGATTATCACTTTGGCTTGTTTACTTTGATTAAGTAGGAAAGAGGATGGGGTTGCTTTTTGCTTGCTTAGAAGTTTACTTTTGATTAAAAACTAGGGTACATACATATTCTGTTGTTAACAGTCCTGCAGTGATTTATTTGTATGGTGTAATCCTTAAGAGATGAAAGTAGCATTCAAGAACATTGTCAGCACTGCAGGGGTTTTTATTAAAATCCATGGTAATTGTATCTTTTGTGTTTTGTGTGTGTCTTTTTTTTTTTTTTGTCTTGCAGGTTTTCAAAACCCTTGGCACAGATGTGGTGAAATCTGCATTTGAAGGTTATAATGCTTGTGTCTTTGCATATGGACAAACTGGATCTGGAAAGTCATACACTATGATGGGAAATTCTGTACGTTGTTTGCCTGGGAAGGAATTTCTTATCTTCCTCTGAACTGATAGAATTATCTTTTTATCTACTTGGTCTGTACTAACATGCTTTTCATGTTCTGATTATTCTTGTGTAATAAAAGTCAGTAATAAGTTGGACTAAATTTCCTTTGAGAGATTTTAAATTAGAAATAGTTTTAAGTATATAAGTATGAATAATGGATGCAAGTCCCAGTTCATTTTCTGTTTTTAAAGGCCTTATAATCTTATCAAGAAAATATGCTGGGCCCACAAGTAATTTATTCTCCTTTTCTGCCAACACAAAAGTTTGAATAAAAATACTGAAGTCTGTTCTTTTTAAAATTATTCAGAACATTTTCCCTCAAGTAAAAAATGTAAAAAATAAATCTAACTTTTTGATTGAAAGGTATTTCATAAATCCAGTAAATACATTAAAAAAGTTAGAGTTTCATAGTCTACATATAGTTTATAAGGGTAGTGTACATATACTTTATATGGGTATCAACATAGTTTATACAGTTCATTAGTTTATCTATGTAAATTAACAGATATTAATGTTACACTTGCTCCAAACTATGAAGGAATGAAAAGTTGACAGGATTGTTGGAATTTTATCTTGTCCTATGTTTTCTCCAAATTTAGACAGTGTTTGCGTGTGTTTTCTTATGTCACAGCAAAAGCACTATTCAGTGACTGCCAAACCTGTTACGTGTTCTAGATGTAGAGATTCTGGCAGAACTTGAGGGCTTCCTGCCAGCAGGAGTGGCGGTATCTTCAATGCTAAAGGTTTGGTGGTTCATGGAAGTAGTGTGTTGGAGGAGAGCAGGGCTTCCCAGATGAACTTACTTCAGTGCACGTAGAGTGACATCTTAAACTCAGGCTTCTCTTTTAAAGTAGAATGATGTACATGTCGTGCTGTGCATCCTCAATGCTGAAAAGTAAAGCAGAACAAATGAGAGCTGCAAACAATATTTGAAGAATCTTGCATTTACTTTTTCTTATCACTTCTTTTTTCCTGCTTCCCTTCTATGCCTTTGGGGAGAAAAAACCCGTGTATGAATTTTGTTGATTCCTAGAAGCTAGTGCTCATAAATGATAGGTATTTTTCTCTGACCTTACAGGTAAGTACTTCTTGGGTGTTCTTTCTATATTTAGGGTATGATAGTTTATTTAAAAAAAAAAAAGTATCACGCTAATCATGAGGAGTGGTGTTGTTTGGGACTCCATGAGAACATTTTGCCTTGTCTTGTACCATTGTGATGCTTACCAGATTAATGCCGACCAAAACATGATTATTGAATATGACACCCACATTGCAAAGTGATATGATGTATTAAATCTTTTCTAGGGAGGCCATTGCATCAAAATGAGACATAAATTACATGTTTTAATATGGTTCTCTCATCTATGTTTTAAGACAGCTAGTAATAATCTTGAGGACTTACTAAAGCTTTCTTAGTGTTTCTTTTCTTCCTGATGTATATTTCTCTTTCTGTGTCATTTAACTAGATATTTTTAACATTTATTTTGCAGTTGGACAAAGTCTTGTTTTATAGAGAATAAGTTTCCAGATCTTTGCAAGCTATGATTTAACTGGTTCACTTCTAATAATCACATATTGTCCAAGTCTCAGCATGTAGAAATAGAAGGTTCTAATGCTCTCATTTCAGAGAATAAGCAGTCCTGCCGAGGGTAAATCGTGTCTAGGGTCCCTGGGTGGCAGGCTGGGTTTTGGCATGCAGGCCCTTGGAGTCCAGTTCCATTCCAGCAAAATGCAAATTCAGTTGTCAGTTATTTTTATTTCAAATGACAGCTGTGACATTTTTCCTTCTCATTGCAGGGTGATTTAGGCTTAATACCTCGGATCTGTGAAGGGCTCTTCAGTCGGATAAATGAAACCACCAGATGGGATGAAGCATCTTTTCGGACTGAAGTCAGGTAGGGTTTGATGGGGCGTGAGCAAGTGAGAGCTTGGTTGTAGCCAGGGCTGCTTGGTTTGTGCTAAAGTACTAGCCTTTCTTAGGGAAAGAGTCTGCTTTTTCCTCTCCTGTACTTATAGTGGTTGTGAATGAAGCTGAAAACACTAGCTTTTCAATGACTTTCTTGGGTACAGTTTGGATCAGAAATAACATAGCTCAGTTGGAAACTATAGTATTTGATGTTTATCTCAAATGGAGTTAGCCTTTGACTTTTACGAATATACCCAATTACTTTCTTCATTCTTTTGGCTGAGTAAGGTTTGTGTTATTCTTCATGTTGGCCAAATCACTCTAAATCTAACCTATAAATAAACCTGGTGGCCCTGGTGCTTTTCCTCTTTGAAATTAAACCTGTTTGGGAGCTTGTCTCTTCAGTGGTTTTGGGGGCAGATATGTCACTTGTATTTCTCATGGCTGTTTGGCCTTCTTTGGTGGTATTGGGGCTTTGGAAAAGTGATTTAAATCACTCTAGATCTCCTTTGCTTAACCTATAAAATGGGGATAATAGAAGTACCTATTACTGAGCTATTTTAGGGATTAAATGAAATAGTCAAAGTGCTTAGCATTGTATGAGATACAATTACCTCTCATAAGTTGAAGTTGCTGTTATTATGAGTCTTGTTATTGTTATCAGTGCCTGAAATCATTTTTTGAATTCCATTTTGTTTAAAATTTTTAGCTACTTAGAAATTTATAATGAACGTGTAAGAGATCTACTTAGACGGAAGTCATCTAAAACCTTCAATTTAAGAGTTCGTGAGCATCCAAAAGAAGGACCTTATGTTGAGGGTAAGAATGAATATTTTGTATCCCTGTCCTTCCTGAGGATTTGTGTAAAAATAAAGCTTTTGACGAAAAAAAATTAGCATAATAGTGAAAATTAAGAATTTGTTTACTTTTGGAATTTTATTATAGTAAAAATAATATGAGCTGTCATTACACAGTGTTCATCTAATGAATTCATACTTCACAAGATGTTTACTGATTTCCTGAGGCTTGCCAATAGATTTCCTTTGGCTTAAAACAATCTCTCAGAATTTGTTTTCCAGTGTTCTTAGGCTAGATAAGCAAGCCTGTATCCTGTATCTTTCCATAGTGTGGCATTTTAGCAGTGTACCTTTACTGATTCTAGTGATGTTTTATGGCAAGAAAGATATTGTGAGACCTATTGTTTGTTAAGAAGAGCTTTAACAGGATTTCTGTGCATGGCACTCAGCATCTGTGTTGAGATACACTAGTATGGCACAGTCACTTGTGGGAAATACAGCAGAATGATGGGGAAGAAACTGGCCTTGGCTTCTTATTTTAAAAAAAATTGGCTGGCTTTTAGGCCATCCTTGTAAAGAAGCTAATCTCACTCAGCATAAGAAAGCTGAGTCTTCATTGCACATAGAGGGAGACAAGCTTTTTTGTTTGGATTTAGTTTTTCATGTGTGTTTCATTGGAGGCCAGACTGGGATCTGTTTATGGGTTTAAAGATATACCTATTTTGGGTTGCCTTTTTTTTTAAACCTCAAGATATCAGGTGGCCAGACACAGTGGCACACTCCTGTAATCCTAGTGGCTTGGGAGGCTGAGGGAGGAGGATTGCAAGTTCAAAGCCAGCCTCAGCAAAAGCAAGGTGCTAAGCAACTCATTAAGATCCTATCTCTAAATGAAATATAATATAGGGCTGGAGATGTGGCTCAGAGGTTAAGTGTCCCTGGGTTTAATCTCCAGGGGAATTGAAAAAGATACCAGGTATACCATAAGGACCCCATCTGAATTATATTAAATTTTTATTTGCACTTCTGCCTTCCATTCCCACAGTAATATATGCAACCATGAGGTTTATGATCGCTATTATGGTTGATAGTTTTTAGCTTAACATGTGTCCTTATGTTTTCTTTTAATTGCATTATTAAATGTTAAAACCTATAAAACTGGTATATGAAGAGTTGGTAATCAAAAAGGGTATCCTGTATCCTGATGTAGATAACTATGGGGATTTAGTTTTGTTTTTGTTTTTGTTTTTTTTTTTTGAGTGTGAACGTGTGCACACATGTTGGACATTGAACACAGGACCTTATGCATGCCAGGCAAAACACTTCACCACTCAGCTACATCTCCAGCTCTGGGGATTTAGTTTTTAACAAATATACAAACATTGGAGGAGTATGGATTATTAGGTTTTCTGGGAGGAGAAAAAGTAAACTAGTGTCATACTTCAGATTTTACAGCAGGATAAATGGTAAATGGATCAAAGATTTATATGTAAAAATAATATAATAACTACAAGACACCATCGATTAATTTTTTTTCAGAAACTTGGAGGGGGAAGGCATTTAAAAATTTGAAAAATCCAGAAACCATAAAACAAATTTGTCAAATTTGAAATGGTAAAAAGTAAAAAACAATCAGAGACACTGTAAACACAGGAAAAAGCTAAATTACAAAATGGGGAAATATTTTTAATTCAGATTTCAGATAAAGCATTAATTTTCTTAATATATGAAGAGTACTTAAAGATCAATAAGGACAATCAAACAAGTAAAAGAATGTAAACAGATTATTTATAGAAATGGAAATACTGGTGATTTTTAAATAGCAAGAAAGAATGCTCACCCTCACTCATGATAGAAGAAAGTAAAATAAAAATACTTTGAGATGATATTTGTCACCCATCTTTGGCAGCTGTAAATGAGTCTGATAAGAGCATTGGGAGGGTATTGGAAGACAGCCTTTTTATACATTGCCACTGTTAGGTGTAAATTGCCCTTTGTGAAGGACAGTTTTGCAAAATGTATCAAAATTTCAAATGCCCTTTGTTTTAACAATTCCATCTCTAAGAATTTATTTTGTGGAAACATTCCCACACATTTGAAAAGACCTATGTATGAGATTATTTGTAGTCACATTACTTGTAATTGAACACAATATGTAAACAACCTCTATAGTCTCAATAGGAGACTGGTTAAATTGCTTACAGTACATACTTCAGTGAAAGCTCTGAATCCTTAAAAATGAGTGAGAAATCTCCTTAACTGATACAGAATATTGCTTTTGTTTTTTTTTTTCAATGGTAGGGTCATGCACACGCTAGGCAGGCACTCCATCACTGAGATGCACCCCCAGCCTCAGACTGTTCTTTATGTATCATTGCATTAAAAAAATGCAGGTTGCAAAATAATGTTTATGATATGCATTGTTTCTGAGGTGCTGGGGATTGAATCCAGAGCCTTGTACATGCTAGGCAAGCACACTATTACTTAGCTATAACTCCAGCCTCAGAATATTCTTTAATATATTTTCATTACATTAAGACAAGCAGGGTGAAAAATAATATTATGGTATACAATTTTCTTTCTTTTTTTTGTGTGGCTTTCTCTGAGTTAAACCCAGGCCTCATGCATGCCAAGTGCCAGGGCCACCACTGAGCTACACCCCAAGCCAAGTATGCTCCCATTTGTATGAAGTGGGGGAAGTGGGTTTATTTACACACACACACACACACACACACTTGCCTACACACACACACAATTGCCTATACACATATGAGCTGTTTCTAGAAGGGTATGGAAGTACTGATAATATTTGTTTGCCTGACAGAAAAGGAAGGAGCTACAGCAGAGGAGTTGGCAGTATATGAATGTTCCCCCCTCTTCAAAAATATATATGTACACACATATATTTTAAATGCTTTAAAATGCTCAGATTTTATGTGAAGACAGTGCTTTTACATTTTTCTTCTTTGTGCTATTACTAATGCTAAGAGATTTATGTCAGTAGCTAACATCCTAAATACCCTATGTAATAGGTACACAATATAAGATGGGGTAATTGAGGCCCAGTGAGACTAACCAACTTGTCCAGCTCCTGAGTGCATTATATGCCACCAAACTGTAGAAACTGGTAAGGTCTTCAGATAGCTCAGCAGATTTGTTGACATGCATTATTTCATAGAAGGAAATTTTTTCAGTTACTATATAATGGGATTTCTTTACCTCCCTCTTTTTTCCCCCAGATTTATCCAAACATTTAGTACAGAATTATGGTGATGTGGAAGAACTTATGGATGCAGGAAATATCAATCGTACCACAGCAGCAACTGGGATGAATGATGTCAGTAGCAGGTCTCATGCCATCTTCACCATCAAGTTCACTCAGGTAAGGGCAGCTGTGGGGCCTGCTGGCTCCATCCCTGAGGACTTTACTTGCTGATTAGCACCAGCTGAGGACTGATCATTGTTGAACCAGGAACAACAGCAAGCAAAGGTGGCTGTCATTTTCTGGTTAATTAAAGTTGAACATGTGCTGTGCACCGAGTTTCTCCGTGGTTACAATCACAGTAATTTTCAATGTCCTGTTGTGTACCCGTAAGAAATATTTAGTAGGCTTCCATCATGTTCTAGACTTAAAAAGAAAAAAGAAACACACACACACACACACACACACACACACGAGCATTCCCAAAAACAAAACAAAAAAGAACACCTTGCTCTTTCCTGAATTAAGGAAAAGTTTTTGTTGTTTTGAGCTGTGTGGGAGATAATGAATTATGAGCCAGAGCCAGACCAGCTGGAGGCCAAGGTGAGTGAGTGCAGTGCATTATCACTCCATGGTGCTCACCCTACAGTGTTGATTATGATTATTAGAATGATATTAAAGGACAGCGAACATTTTAAGTACTAATATAAGAGTCATTATGATCAAGTGATGTAGAGCTCCTTGAACATGGGGAAATGATCAAACGTATATAGTTTAAAACTGAGGCCAGCAGAACACTTGAATCAAAATATGCAGGGTTCTCTTAGGGCTTAAGAATATGTTAGGAATTTGGTGATGTCTTCACCAACATGTCAGAAACAAAGGCAGCATTTTATTAATGAAGGGGATCACAGAGTAGCAAAATGAAAAGATTCTCTAAGGTTAGTCAGAATAACTCTCTTTATCTTTCCTTAGACCTTTGCTTTGATTTATAATAGTTTACTAGTTTTTCTCCTGATTTCTGATTAGTTAGGGTTATGGTTGTCTCTAGTTTTTAAGGGGTTTACATTTTTATCAAAAGTTTAGTTTTGCCTTTTGGTTCATAATGTAAAGCATAAATTAAAAGTCTTTGGAAAGATTAAATTTTGGTAAAATTAAACAAGGGATATAGTATTAATATTTCACATTAAAAATTGTGAAAATGTTTTATCAGATAATGATCAAATTATTTTTTACATAATTGTGTACATTTGTCATATTTTGGGGAGCTTTTGTGCTTGACATGCTGCAGATTGTAGAGGAGAATGGGCCTACTTTCATATTCTGCCACACTCTGATTCAGTGGGGCTCTGTTGAGAATGACAGTGATTTGAGCAATGAGATGGTTCCAGCAAGCTAAAGAATCACATATGGTAGACTTCTTGTATATGGAATTGGATTTTGGAAGTTTTTGTAATCCCAATAAGACAACAAAATGAAAAAAGATCTACCCTGAGAAGTTGCAATGAGAAGTGGAAATAATTAGAATTTGTATCACAAACATCAGGCCCCTTTGTATCTCTCCAATTTTACTTTCATATTTGACTACAGGCAAAATTTGATTCTGAAATGCCATGTGAAACTGTGAGTAAGATCCACTTAGTTGATCTTGCCGGAAGCGAGCGTGCAGATGCCACTGGTGCCACTGGGGTCAGGCTCAAAGAAGGGGGGAATATTAACAAATCTCTCGTAACTCTGGGAAACGTCATTTCTGCCTTAGGTAAGTTTATGCTCACCATTTGCCTCTTTTTCCTTGTGGTGCTGTATTAGCACAAAGCAGTTATGCTTTATGTTTGTCTTGCAAACAGAGGCAACATCCTCAAGGGTTTTTGAAACAAAATTAGAGGAAAAAATATTTAGTAATTATCCTTTCTTTGTCCTTCTTTCCTTCCTCCCTTTAGCTGATTTATCTCAGGATGCAGCAAACTCTCTTGTAAAAAAGAAGCAAGTTTTTGTGCCTTACAGGGATTCTGTTTTGACTTGGTTGTTGAAAGATAGCCTTGGAGGAAACTCTAAAACCATCATGATTGCCAGTAAGAGTTTTCAGTTGTTTTTCTAAACATTCAGTATTTTCTGTGAATGAACTGTAAATATTTACGTTGGAAATGTCTCATTGGGTCTGTTGTGTTCACAACAGACACTAGTATGGCAATATGTAAATCAATGGATGTGTAACTGATGTGATTCTGCAACCTGTATATGGGGTAAAAATGGGAGCTCATAACCCACTTGAATCAAAGTGTGAAATATGATATATCAAGAACTATGTAATGTTTTGAACAGCCAACAATAAAAAATTAAAAAAAAAAAAAAGAAATGTCTCATTGGGGTGTAATACCTTTTATATCTTAAAAAAGTAATGGTTTATCAATCTTGAAATTTACTTACTGTACCTAATATGTAATCTTATAGTATTAACTGTTATGTAGCCTGGCCATGTTATAGAAGTTGGGATATCATGCAGAAACTCTTAGTTTTTCTTTGCTTATAATACAATGCAGAAACTTTTAACTTCACTAACTCACAGAAGAAAATCATTTTTTACAATGGAAAAAATAATCCAACCTTGTATTTCTATTTAAAGCAGTAGATGCGACATTTGAAATTGAAAATTGAGAGAAAAATTCCAATATATATAACAAATAATGATAACAATAAAGAAACTTATTTATTTTGTCTGATTAACTGAAAGAAGCAGAATAGAGAAAAATACGTAGAAAGAGGGAATAGTCATTTTCTTCTCCCCCTTCCTCTTTCTCTCCTTCCTTTCCCCTTCATATGTATCCCTTACCCTACCAGTTGCCAAGCATTAACTGCAGAGGCAAGGGATCTTACCTGGGTGTATAACTCCATGAATTTCACAGTCATCCTGACTTTAAGGTTTGGTGGGGGTGGGTTGGGATTAACCAAAGTTTCCAGAAAGAAAGAATTAACTAGTCTATTGAATCATTTAAAAAATTATCATGCTCTAGTAGATTTTTCCAGATGGTTGGCTTGACCAGAAATATTTAAAGTGTTTTAATTCCTGCTTAATTTTGAGAAGTTCAAAGAGTGTTAAAATCCTCTTTTTATATTTTCCACTGCCTTAACTATGCTGGGGTGTCTCATCCTATTTTAAAGTTGGTTAGATGGCTGATTCTAGACTTGAGAAGAGCAAAATGACATTTAATTTGGTGTGGTGAACACCCTTTCCTATAAAATCTTAGATAATTTTTAATATTCATTACTATGGCAATGAATATTTAGTCTATCCAATGACCTGGGGTTAATCTGACTTTTAAATTACAAACCAACTTTGTGTTAAATGAAACATGGAGTGCTAGATAAATTATTTTTTGAATTCATTCTTCACAGCTATTTCACCTGCTGATGTCAATTATGGAGAAACCTTAAGTACTCTTCGATATGCAAATAGAGCCAAAAACATCATCAACAAGCCTACCATTAATGAGGATGCCAACGTCAAACTCATCCGTGAGCTGCGAGCTGAAATAGCCAGACTGAAAACACTGCTTGCTCAAGGGAATCAGGTTGGGTTTTTCTGAGATTTATGGATAATTTTCTTTGAGTAATGGCATCTATTTCTAGATCTTAATGAGACAATTATCTCATAGTATTGATTTGAGTAAATAAGTGCTAAGTAAAGCTTCGAATGAGTTAGCCAGTCTCTCCTTTACATCAACCTCCTATTGGCCTTTGCATTCATTATGTGCTTCATATGTGAGATTTTATCCACTAAACCTGAAATGATTAACTATCTAATAGTTATCAATTATGGATGGAAATTTAGCATGCAATAGGATTAGCGGCATAATCTCCATTAGTGGAAAGAAATTGAGATGCTTAGAGTAATATTTAAAATTCTACCCATGCATTTTATGACCTTAAAATGTATTTTAGCAGAATGAAAGACTTGTTTGAACACCTTTCTGGAATCTCTGTTTCTTATCACCCGTCACAGAGGTGGATATAGTGATTCATTGACACGTGTGACATTATACCTGTCACCTGGCTGTATTGCTGTCCCTGGGGTCTTTATTGATTATTGAAATGACCTCACTTCAGGATCTTTTGGGTTTCTAGTGAAGAAGCCTTATCCCTTTTTTATTTTTATAGCAAACTTTCTTAAAGTCTGCAAAGCACACACATACAGAGTTACATTCTGTGGGCTGGGGACATAGCTCAGTTGTTAGAGTGCTTGCCTTACATGCACATGGCCCTGGCTTCAATCCCCTGAACCACCAAAAAAAAAAAAAACAGAGTTACATTCTGTGATGAATAGTGAGTTAAGTTCACGTGGGCTTAGATACTGCTGGGAAGAAAGGACACCCTTGAAAGAAAATCAAGAACAAGTTATATTGGAGTTAGAAATAAAGATATATTTCATCCCATTTTCTTAACCCCTGAATGTGTGTCTTCAGTACATCATTAAAAGAAATATTTTTCTTTAACTGCAAAGTGGTCTCCAGAGCAGTGTTTTCCATGTAGGAACATATAGCACTTGAAGCTCTTGACATCCCATACATAGCTTGATTTATGAAAATACTGCCAGGATGGAAAAGCTCACCAAGCTTCCTGTGTCCTGAAACACACCTGACAGCCCTATCCCACCTGATTAACCAGATAGGAATCATTCATTGTGCTTAAAAATATCTCCACACACATTTTACTTTATGATGTGAGCTTCGTGTGTGAAAGGAAGTTGTCAGAATCAATGGTACAGCTGCGTGTGATGTAAAAACTTACAACCTGAGCCACATATACTTTGTTACTGGGATCCCTTTTCAATGTTTTAAAAGCATTATTCCTCTCAAGTAAGCATTTAAAGATTATTTGATAGGATCAAAGTACTGTATGTCAAGGAAGTATTTGAAAAATTCTAGGTGTAACTTCTTGTACTTAAACATTTAAGAGAATGAAGGAAAAAAGGAGAGATCATCCTTTTAAACAAACAGAAAAAGTTTAATTTTTTAAAACATTCACACATTTTCTAAGGAATGTCTTGAGAGGTTTTGACATGCGAAGTGGTGCCTTACATTTCATGCTCTACCCCAACTACTGATGTACTTGAGGGAGTATTTTTGTTACTGTTGTTTTGAGGCTGAGTATGGAATGGATGGAATGGTCTATTTTACATCACATTGAAGATAAATTCTTTGATATAAATTACATTGGAAATGGGAGTCCAATTAAAAGTTATTTATTATACTCTGAAGCTATAAATTATTGTGAGACAATCCAGGCTTACTCTAAAATAATTAAATTATATTATTTAAAAAAAATAAGCACTTAAATACTCATTAAAAATCTCTATGAATCTTTCTGAGGACATTGTTCTATTTGTACAGTATTCTATTTCAAGTGCTACTACTATGGTTCAATATTTCAGAATATCACTGAAATCAAAATTCTGTTCTATGGTTATTTATTTAAGCACAGCTAAATAAAAATTAGTTTCTGCTTTTAATAATTTTGCGTATTCGCTATTGCAAATGTCATGTATCAGTTTTAAAAGTATAATTTTATAAAATAATATGTTCTGGATGTATTGTATTTGCATCACCTACTACACTAGAAGGTGTACGTATGTTCAGTTTTAGTAGTTACGTAGAAACTGCCAAACAGGTTTTTAAAATGTTTATGCTAATTTATTCTCCACCATAAGTGTATGAAAATGGCAGTTTTAATTGCTATAGATCTTGCCAACATTTGTTATTGTCATTTTTCATTGCAACCATTCTGATAGACATATACCAGTATCACAGAATGATTTTACCTTTGCACGTCTCAGATGATTAGTAATGAAAGTGGATATTGGGATATCCTTTTTTTTATGAAGTTTTTGTTCTCTTTTATTACATTAATACATATTTTCACGTATTTCTGCTTTGAATTTGGCAGAGACAGAATGTCTCTTGACTCCCTCATCTCTCTTGTATATATTTGGAGACAAGTAAATTAAACAGTATAACAATGAAATAAACAACAAAAGTTAAACAGCAAAAAGTTGGTGGGAAAGAGAAGATGGAAGAACAACAAATTGCTCATTTTTGTAGCTGGAGCCAATGATAAATTTTAAATAATAGAAGTATCATTATGTAGAACTTTTAATATTGATACATCTGAGATAGGGTTACAAAGCAGAACTCAGTTATCTGTTGGTATAAGAACAGGCAAAGGGCTGGGTGTGGTAGCACATGCCTGTAATCCCAGTGATTTAGGAGGCTGAGGTAGGAGGATCACAAGTTTAAAGCCAGCCTCAGCAACTTAGTGAGGCCCTAAAAAATTTAGTGAAACCCTGTCTCAAATAAAAAGTAAAAAGGGATTGGGATGTGGCTTAGTGATAAAACACCCCTGGGATCCCCAGTGGCTGAATAGAATAGAGTAGAATAGAATAGAATGGAATAAAATACAGGCAAGGGCCTACCAGTTAATTCAAGGAGAAAGAAAGCAATGAGGAAAGAGAATATATGAGCTTAAAAAAAGATCACTTTGTCATGACAAATTCTCAAATAAAATGATATATGATGTCAACTTTCATAAAGGAAAAAAACAATGAAACTATTGGAAATAACAGGAAACAGTGACATATTTGCCACAGAAAGTTTGAACTCTTCTCAAGCTGTGAGAGCTCAGGTAGACAAAAGTAAGTGAAGATGTATATGTACATAATAGCATGAAGATTTCCTCTAATCTGTGTGATGCAAACCAGGAAAAAATGTTTCAGCTCATTCAACATAAGACTGATTTCCTTATTATGAAATGAACATCTAGAAAAGAATAAAAACAACCACAACCTAATAGAAAATTTAAGAAAGAATGTGAGCACAATTAACAGGAAAAAAAAAAGTTTCCAATGGTTTCCTGAACCTACAAAACATATGTTCAAAATACAATAGTGCAGTTGATTGTATAGTGTATTGGCAAGAGTGGGAGGCAAGAGGTGCTTAATTATGCTGTTGAGGGAGGCAATATTGCTGTATTTTTGAGATAGCATCACTCTCAGTTTAATAACACATGAATTTAATCTAAATATTGTTTAATCCTGAACATAGACACCTTGCATAGAAGAATTGACAGTGGTTTATGTTTGTTAGTTTTCTTTTGGAAGAACTTAAGTAGGTCTTCCTTTATACATGCTTCAAAATTTGTAAAAAAAATTGGAAATACATATTTTCTAAAAGAGCTTTTGGTCATAATAGCCTTTGAGGCATATCACTCAGTTAGTGATTATCTACTAAGCTGATAATGAATTAGTAATGTTTCAGCTTTAGTTATAGATAAAAAAGTCCAATGGTGGATTCTGAAAAATTTGCCATATTATAAAGGGCTAATTTTTTTTAAAAATGTCAACCCTATATAAACAAAACAGGCTTGGTAATAATTTTAATTCATTTCTTAAATGAAAAGTATTTAATGAAGTACCTTCTGTGTGTAAGACAACCTGCTAGGTGCAATTGACACTTTGTAGTAACATTATAATAAAGCTTCTGTTTCATTCAAATTTGGAGGACGAATTTGACTAATAGGTTAACTTTCTGGCCTCATTCTCTGTCAATCTGATTAAAGTGGGATCCTAGCTTTATAATATGGGAATATCTCTAATTATAAAGACCCCATGTTAGGGAATTTTTTCAGGATTAGAATAACATATAATGCCAGCTGAGAAATCATAGCTTTAGATTTCCCTTGGGGCAGTGACTCCTGTAACAGGGTGTGTCCCTTGCCAGGACCCTGGAGGATGTACCAAGGAATGCTGGGTCCTGTGGTGCATGATTTTTAAACCACTGTGGGCCCCACACATGTCCATATGAAATGACCATCCCTCACATGTGAGCAAGTAGTTCAGAGGGTCAAAGATAACTGCTGCTGGATAGCTCTGTAGCGCTTAAGGATCTTAAGGATCTAGCTCACCAAGATCAACACCTAGGCTCCCCTGCTGGCCGGTTCTGCTTTCTGTTGAGTACACAGATGCCAATTGTGGCCCACAGTAGTCTTGTTAACTGAGGCCTCCTTTTGGGTGTTTGTTTTTTTTTTTTTTTTTTTTAAGAGAAAGAATTTTTAATATTTATTTTTTAGTTTTCGGGGACACAACATCTTTTTATTTTATTTTTATGTGGTGCTGAGGATCCAACCCAGCGCCCCGCGCATACCAGGCGAGTGCGCTACCGCTTGAGCCACATCCCCAGCCCCTTGTGGGTGTTTTTGTTTGTTTGAATAGAAATTGAAAAGTAAATAGTCATGAAAACCATGCTGGAGACTCTGAAGAGGAGAGCTTCCCAATTGAAGATTCATATAGCCAGGCCTGTTGGCACATGACTGAGGAGGCTGAAGCAAGAGAACCCCAAGTTCAAGGCCAGCCTCAGTAATTTAGTGATACCATGTCTCAAAAAATAAAAAGGGCTCAGTGGTAAAGCACCCCTGAGTTCAATCCCTAGTATCCCTCCCACCCCCCCAAAAAATCATACATATAGATGACTCACAGATTCCCTTTTCTAGGAATTTCTTGTGGTGATACAACCACATATACCTTAGGTGGTTGGTATAAGGTAGTTATTGTAGAGCATTGCTGATAAAGCAAAAGATTAGAAAAAACTGAATTTATATTAATAAGAGGGTACTTACTTACGTTATAGAATGTCCATACAATAGAAAACTATACAATGGAATTGGAATTGTTAAAAAATGCTGGGTATAATGGCACATATCTGTAATCCTAGTGACTCAGGAGGCTGAGGTAGGAGGATCGAAATTTCAAAGCCAGCCTCAGCAACTTAGCAAGACCCTAAGCAACTTAGCCAGACAGTGTCTCAAAATAAAAATAAAAGCAGGCTGGGGATATGGCTCAGTGGTTAAGTGCCCCTAGGTTCAATCCCTGTAATAAACAAACACAGCAAATACAGGCTTTCATATAACCAGAATAAACAGTAGGTGTTTATACTAAATTGAGAAAAGAGATTGTGGATGGGTGGGGCAGGAAACTCCCTTTCTGTTTTCTTCCTGTCACATTTTAAGAAGTGAGGAAGATATATAGGATAGGGAGCTCTGTGTTCCTAATACTCAGGTCACAGCTGACATGTTGGGAGCTCAGATGAGGCCCCAGCCTGCTTCTGTTTTTCTCTCCTGTCTGTCTGTCCGTCCCTCCCCAGTTCTTACCTGATTTTGGTGTTTATCATTCTCATTGTCAATCTTCACACTTCTGCAACACAGATAAGGAAATGGCTAGAGACTGTAGTGTAGCCATGGCATACATTGAATACTATTTAGCAGTGAAAATAAATAAGTTTTTATCGCATATTTCAACATGCATGGACCTCAGGAGCTTGTGGTTGAACAAAACTTTGGCATCTTTCTTTTTGAATTTTGTATTTTGCATGTTCAAACAGACAAATCCTTAAAATCTAGGAATTTAGATTGTATTTTATTTTGGTAAAATGTCTCTGTTGCACTTTTGCTTTGTATTGCAAATACACATTTTCCAGGGTGCCATGACTTTGGTTATTATGAGATATGTATCCCCTGGATTAGAGTTTTGGTGGTAAATGACACTTTTTTTTTTTTTTGAGGAGGAGGTATGGCATCACTTTTAACTAATATCTCATGTTTTTTTGTGGAAGTTTTTGATCATTTACTATATTCTTGGAATAATTCTTCTAGTATGTTACTGCTGTTTATTAACTGCTGATGTCTTTTGTGGTTTAAATTTTAGATTGCCCTCTTAGACTCCCCTACAGCTTTAAGTATGGAGGAAAAACTTCAGCAGAATGAAGCAAGAGTAAGTGATAACTTATGCTATATTTTTTAAGTCCATGCTTTCTAGTACTTACTTTCCTTCTTCATTACACTGTATTTCCCCAACCTCAATCCTGTGATCATTTTTAAAGATGCACAATAGTTGCCTTTTTATGTATTGCATACTTTTCTCTGTGATTTAGTAAATAGGATTTCTGTGGCACATGATGGTCAACTGAGATTAAGTGCACATGCTGGCCTTCCTGACAAAGCAGTAAGACCACTCAGGCCATCTGAACAGGCAGGAGTCCCTGGTGGAGGGAGGCGGAGCTCAACATTCATGAAATAGATGAAACAGCAGTGGTCTTCTCAACTTCACAATGGGCACTGCTTTGCTTTTGGTCATTTCTTTACTTTGTTTCCACTGGATGTCCAGCACATGTTTAATTAAGCTGGCTGAGAGTCGAAGCGTTGCAGTGAGTGACCAGAAGAGAGAGCAGCTCTCAGGGGACGAGGCAGGCTGCAGCCAACACTTGTGGGCTGGTGCTTTTTGGAAACCAGTTTCATGGCTGACCTTGTTCTATGCTTTTTTTTGTTGTTGTTGTTTTAAAAAAATAACACCCTCTGGGAAAAGAGAAACAGACATTAAGAACAATCTTTGGAATGGATTTTCTTCCTAGTGCTGAATGATTAAAACAGACTGAGAAAAATAATTGGATTCTGTTGGTAAAAACCCAAGAATACACAATATGGAAGATATAAATTGGGTTGTACTTAGAAACTTGTTGACACTTCCCTGGGTAATTATGTTGGTTAATAAGCTGATAATAGCGGTAGTAAAAAAATTATTTTTTAATCCCTATTTTTCTCATGAAAATGTGTATTTTAGTGCTTCAGGTTCTAATTTTGAATGCTATGAAATGTCTGGATAGAGTCTTAAATTGTCTCTCAATTATAGTTTCTAGAATACCTGGTAAGCTAATAGAAAACAATAAACATTTTAATTTGAATGCATTACACATGCTGTGACAGAAATGACTGCCTCTGTTGTTCGTAACATTTTTGAAGCCTTTGTCGAGTTTTTTGCTGACCTTTTTTAATTGTTTGCCATCTGCTTGGCTATAAATCTCATCACCTGATCACATTGTTAGTGGTGATATCACACATTTGCATTTTTTATTAATGTTTTAAATGACTATTTGATTTAAATATAATGAAAAGATAATTCCAAGCCATCTTTTAAAACTTTTTTTTTTTTTAAGGCTAGAATTACTTGATTGAATTTGGAAAGGATTGATTGGTTTGCTTTTCTGCAGTGAGAATATATCTGTTGGTGAAATGCAGAATCATTTGTTTTGAATGCTTTGTGTTCTCAGGTTAATTGCCAGTGAGAAACTCTGGTTAGTATAAATTAGTAAACTCAACATATCAGGCTATTCCTTTTCTGTAGGAAGAGGATACCAAGAATATTCTTCTCTGAAAGTTTTTTTTTTTTTTTTTTTTCAAAACAAAATACCCTAAAATCTTCATGGTTTTTATTACTGTTGTGAATCTGGGGTTGGTATCAGTGAAGGATCAGACAAATCAACATTGCCTTTTCATAGCTTTAGGGATGAGCAAAAAGTGAAACTAGAAAGATTCTTCCACTTCTGTTTCTTTTGTTTTTCACCAAGAAGATGGTAGAGTTTGTCACCAATAACTAGTAAAAGAAGAAACATTATTTTAAAAAATGTAACCCCCACAGTCTTACTTGAGGTAAACTGAGGAGTAAAATGAATGGCCTCTGAATGATTGAGTGTAGGTGGGTGAGGTTTGGTTTTCTTCTTGGATAAACCATCAATCTTGATCCTCCAGTTCTTGTTAGCACCACATTTTCTTTCCTTAAGTTTGCTGACAGGAATGCCCTTTCCAAGTAGTACTTCATGGCTGCTTACACCCTCACTTGTTTTAGCAGTGAGAGTGAAGGCAGATGTATTTTATGGGTCCATGTGTCCTGGTTAAGTGGGGTGGCTCACTGGAGGGAAGACCAGGAGGTTTATGTAGTGAGGTGTCTGCCTCTGGGAGAAAGGAGGGGAGGCAGGAGTGACACTGGCACAGAAAGGAAGAGGTCCTAAGAGGATGACTCCCCTTTCCGAAGGCTCTCTTTTATCCTAGGTCTATTCCTATTCACAGAACACATTTTTTATTCATTTTTTTCCTCCTCCACTCAATTCAGGTATCACTTTTTCCTTCCTAATGAATTAATCATTAGGATCATCTGAATTTTTTTCTGGAACTAGTAGGAAATGTCCTCTAATTTTGAAAAACAATTTCTCCATGATCAACAATGGGAATGTTTTCTTCCCAAAGATATAGCAGAGTGGAAAGAAGCTGCTTTTTATCAAAAGATCTTTTCTTTCACTAATAGAGTCAATTAAAGTACCACCTTTTTTTTTTTATAAGATAGAATGAGATTTTTAAACCCCATTAATTAGCTACAAAAGCACATTATCTCCTAAAAGAAAATGCAACATCCAAGGTGATTTAATCACTACATCTAATTAGAAAGAAAAGTAAATCACTATTTCTTAGGACCCAAAGTATAGTCAGGAAAAATTAACCCATTTAATGGGACATTGTCATCCTTGAACTTGTGATTTTGGTTAATAATCCACAGAAACAGCTTTAGTTAATGTGCCAGGAAAGACTGTTGTAAAATTCTAGGCAACTTGATTGACAATTTCTGTCAGTTTTTTCCTTTGCCAAAATGTAGGTTGTAGGATGAGATCAGCTTGTTTGACTTATATTTGGTGATATAGCTTTTGTAGAAATTGCTAGCTCATTTAAAAAATAATACTTTATCTCTGCATAAGTTCTAAGAATTTGGAAGCTTTCTATAAGAAAATCTTATTAATTATTAAAAATAACCACTTTCTTTTTAGGTTCAAGAATTGACCAAGGAATGGACCAATAAGTGGAATGAAACCCAAAATATTTTGAAAGTAAGGACTATAAAAAGGTGTTTTAGTCTTACTGTGTTGGCTTAAGTATGTAAACCTTTTTTTTTTTACCCCCCTTTTCATACCTGGCAGTTTTGTGTTTTGCTTAAGGTAAAGTCAGTGGAGCCAGTTAGTGACTATGTTTGACTGGTTGATTTTGAAGAATTGGGAAAGTAAGTAGTTTATTAGACATTAAAGCTGTATGTTTTAACATGCACAGATTATGTTGATATTTAAGATATTTACTTTTACTTGACTCTTTTTATTCTTTAGGGGCATTCACATTGTTTTTCTGCTTTTGCCAAAGTCAATATATTAAATTAAAAATATACTTTCCTTGACAACATTGTAGAGTATGTTTGAGTGTGTCATGACTAAATTTCAGAAATTTCTAAACTAGTAATGTCTTATCAAAATGTTTTTCATGTGTCTCAAGGACTAGACTGTGTGATGGTATGCATTTCTGGCAGGACTTACTGTGAAAATTTTTAGAGGCCTCCATTTTTCATGGTTGGTGCTTCAAAATACTAGTTTCTTTATGTTTTTGTATTTTTGCCGGCTTGGGTATAAAATCTCTGACATGTATTGAGGGCCGGTAACACCAGGTTTGAAGTTCAGGTTAAAATTTTGTGCACTGATGGCATCTGCCTGACTTTAGCACAAGGGAAGGCAGTTCAGAGGCCATTGAATCTGAGTTTTTTGTTCATTTGTTTCTTTGTTTTAAGGTCTGTTGAAGTAGGACTATCTCAAGAGTTAAACCTTTATCTAATGTTGACAAGTCTAGATAGATGAGGCTTAACTGACTGTCTGGGCAGAACCCTAACTTGGATCCCTATCACGTCAAAATGGCGCATCCAATCACTGGTTCATGGAGGCAGACTTTTGACAGTCTGGATTAGAAATTAAGTTCTGTCTGTATCTAACAACTGTCTCAAAGAGCAGAGCCAGCATTATACTTCATAAAGATCTTGGGAATCGGGGATAATAAGAGTGTTTTTCATGAGGTCAGAGGTTGTGCCCAAATTTCAAATGGTAGCAGGTTGTGATGATCCTGGTAATTTTCTTATCAGTTTCAGGAAGCACTGTACCAAGTAAGAATTTTCACATTCAAATTTCCTTCTTTCTCCTTATTATGATAAGAATGTTGTACTATTTTGTACAGAAGATGTATACTGTACTTCTGCAACATTTCCTTTTTTAGATTATATGTATGTATATATATATATATATATATATATATATATATATATATATTTTTATATATATATATATTTTTATATATATATATATATTTATATATATATATATATATATATATATATATATATATATATATATATGGCCCTGGACATCAACCCTGGGCTTTTGGGCCTTGCCTGTGTTAGGAAAGTCCTCTGATTTACTGATTTACACCTTAGCCCAGGTATGTTGAGAGATTTTAGTGCGTGAAACCAAACAAAGACTTCACTCACATTTCAGAATAGATATGTATGGAATAAACACTTTTAAAGAGGTACAATATTTTTTTGATGTTACATCTACTCTTAAGAGATTGTGTTGTAGCTCCTGAAGCCCCAGTTCTTTGAACTTTCATTGTATAATGTATTTTTCCCCAGAAAATTTGCCAAGGAGGGAGGAATAATATCTCCATTTAAGGAAGAAAGAAATTATCACTAGTCAGCTATTTGAAAAGTCATTGTTGTATGCAGTGCCCAGTAACACCAGAAGCACTGTAGCAATAAATTGAAAGATATAAGCTTGATCTGCTGCTGCTGCTTCAGTGTCTCCTTTGACACTATAGGGTTTTCTTTCTTTTTTCTGTGTGTGTGTGTGTGTGTGTGTTGCCAGAGCTCAAACCCAGGGCCTTGCACAAGCTAGGCAAGTGCTCTACCACTGAACTACATTCCCATTTACTGTAGTAATATACTGGGTTTTATAATGGCCCTGCAAAATTTTATTTTGAAAGTCACAATGGTGAAACCTCTGAACTTTTTCTTAGGCTTTTTTTTTTTTTTTCCTTATAAGGTGATTCTGGGCCAGAAGCTAAATCTTCCTTTAATTCCAATCCAGTTTTTCCTAAATCTAATTATATTTATTTTTAAAAAGATTTTTCAGATGAGAAGGAAAAATATGATACATGTTAGGTGTGAAAGGTTAGGAGGAAGGCAAATGCTATTTCGTGATTTTTTTCCTTCTCTCGATCTTGCAAGCCTGTTTTAGATTTCTCTGCCGGTATTTGTGCTTTAAATCTATAGTCGTTTCTGCTCACCTTTGGTACTTTAAGGGTTGTCTTCATCTCTTATTGGAAGACTGTACATGCAGGCTGGAGTGAAGAAGAGGAGAATTTGAATGTTTTCATTGAAAACTTTCTTTGGAATTGATTGCAATTCCATGGGTATATATCTGTTTGGCTTGTGTAATCCTCTCCTGTATTTCTGCTGTGTTTCATCATAATACAGAGTACTGCATGAAATTCATCTCAAATCAGTGGCAATGATCTTTATTGTATATTTACATTGCCTGTTTTTATAAGTCTTGAGATTTAACATGTATCATTTGCAGTAGCTTTAGAAACATAGGGATCTTCCCTCCCCCCATGTAGGGGGAGGAGTCTAAGCTCAGTGTGTTGGGTGAAGACACCCTTAAATATGAATTACTCTTGAAAGTCCCTTAAATTTGCCTGGACATCACTGTATCCTTAGCTCTTAGGTGCTCAAGTCAGGAGTATTTTTGTTCCCTTCTTTCTACATCCAATCTGTGGTTTCTCTTGTTCTAGATAAGTAAAATCCAAAATATTGTTGCATGAGGGTGGAGGGACAGTGACAGACCTCTAGGTGCATGTGTGCTCTGACAAAAGGTGCTGACTGTTTTAGCAGAGCAACATGATGATAGAAGCTGGAACCTGAGCTTTGATCTATGGAACTCAGAACATGGATCTTAGGCTATTTCCTTTCTGATTCACTGAGCTGTATCATTCATCTATAAATGTCATATACCTTGGTTCCCAGCTTGGAAATCATGGTGGATGGCAACCTCTTTGTTATATCCAAGTTAGCAGGGTAAGAGATGATAAAATCTTCAGCATTATTTTGAAAGTAGTTGACAGCAGAACATGTATTTTACTTAAAGAGGCAGGTCCTAGGCCAATAGGTAATGAGGGAGAGTTCTCTTACTGTGCTCGACATCTCCTCCCTTTCTATCCCTGTAATCCACCTTCCTCATTTTCATTAATCTTCATTTTCTGAAGTTCATGTTCCCTTGTTGGATCTTAAAGGCAGGTGTCTCCTGTTCAGTTTCATCTGAGCAGTCCTGTCATGGTTCTCTCTTCATCTCAACCTGATGGGTGACATGCTGGTTGCTGAGTGCAGTAGGGAATTGGATTTCTTGGAGTCCCTTAGCTTTTGCTGGTGTTGCTTTGTCACTAGGGATACTTTTGCCTTTCTGTGCTTCTGTCAGAATCTACCTCGAGGCCCATTGATCACCCCTTCTCTCCTCTCCCTTGCTTCTCAGGATAAATATTGCTTTCTTCTGTACTTTTATGGCATCTGCTTTTATATCTGGCATAGTGCTCATCATCATTTGAGTTAGGCAGTATTGGTTTCTCTCTCTTGCTGCCAACACGTCCATAACAGAAAAGAAGAGCAGGAGCTGGCCCTGGACTGCATCTCTTCATCATTCTCTGAGCCAACTTCTATGGCTCTGCTTCAAACTTAGCAGGCACACATTGGAAATTTACAGGATTAAACAGTAGCAGTAAACAAAAAGTAAATTGTATTAATCTGCTCAGACTGCCATAACAAAATACCATAGACTGTATGGCTTAAACATCAGAAATTCATTTGCTCACTGATCTGGAGGCTAGAAGTCCAAGATCAAGACGTTGGCATGGTTGGTTTCTCCTGAGGCGGCTTCTCCTTGGCCTGCAGATGGCTACCTCCTCATGTCCTCACATGACCTGCTCTGTGTGTCTGCATCCCAGTCTCCTTCTGTGTATCCTAATCACCTCTTATAATGGCAACAGTCACTCTGGATTAGGGCTCACCCTAATGGCCTCATTTCAACTTAATCATCTTAGTCAATTAATTTTAACTTATTATAGGTCCAGTCTTTAAATACAGTTACATTGTGAGGTACTAGGGTTTAGAGCTTCACCATGTATTTTGGTCTGAAACAATTCAGCCCTAACAACAACCTTGAACTCTACAGATCTGGTGACCTTGTGGGCAACACACCATGAAGTATTGTGTGGGGAGCATTTCTACCCTAGTGATGCTTCTGTATACACCATCCCATTTTTCTCATTTATATTTGAAAATTTCATATATGACTGCATATTTTTATTCTTGAGAGAATTATGGTTAAATTCCTTTTGATAATAGCACTGTCCTTCACGTAGATCAGTTAGATCCTTGTCTGTTCAAAGTGTGGCTTCTGGATCAGCATCCTTAGCACCACCTTGGAGCTGTTTAGAAATGCAAACTCTGGGTCCCCACTCCAAACTTCCTGGGGCAGAATCTGCATTTCAGAAAGGTCTCCAGGTGATGCATCTGTTACTTCAGGTTTGAGTGCTAACTTAGATGTCCCTGGGAAAGGTAGAGCCATTCTTCCCCTTCTTTTGCTCTGCCCTGTGCTGTGGGGGCTGACTCTTATGGGCTGCCCTTTCTTAGGGTCCTATGAATCTCCCTTTGGGAGATTGGAGAAAACAACCAGATCCCTCCCCTCTGGCCTCGTATACAATCTTCAGTGGCAGGTGCCTGTCTTCTCCATGGCTCTAGTTCCTGCCAGCAAGGAGTGATTGTGGTACTTACAGTTCTGCCTGGTGACTTAGACCTGATCTCCAGAAACATTTTCTTTCTTTGCCCCTCATCTGATGGTGGTACTGACTCTCTGTTGTGTGTGTGTGTGTGTGTGTGTCCTCCTTGTCCCAGAATGCTTTCCAGCTCTTTCTTTAGCTGAGCATCTAGTTCCCTGTTTTGAAGTCCCTTAGGTTTAAATACTGAATG